CCCGGGCCACGCAGCTCTGTGTGAGTGCGGTGTGCGTGTGTGCCTCTCACTGAAATAAAAGGAAAACAATGACGAAGGGAAACAGTCCCCACAGCACTGCCCCCCGACCCCCTCTGTCCCTCTCCTGGCTGAGGTGGATGGGGGCTCTCTCCTGGGAGGGGCAGAAACTGGGGCCATGTTCACGGTTTTGGGGGATCCCTGGCTCCCACCCCCAACTAGAGCGCCCATCCCGGCACTCCCATGCCCGCCCGGGGCAGCAGCAGCCTCGCCTTTCCCGGTTCAGCGTTGCCCTTTGCAAAATCCTCTTTCAAACATAAAAATCCGTGAGGGAGGAGATGCTAAATCCTTTGAAAGGGTGGATCCAGAGAGCCTGCGAGAGGGGATCAGAGGTAAGCCCAGGTGAGACCCCCCCTGCTGGAAAAGGCCACACACCACAGACACAGCAATATGAGTATTTTTAAGAAACTTTCACTTAACTTTTTAGTATTTTGCAGTAACTGTAGGTTTATGGAAGTTGCAAAGATAGTCCAGAAAACTCCTTGTACCCTTCACTCAGTTTCCCCAATGGTCGCATCTTCCTTCCGTAACTACGGTAAACCATCAAAACCAGGACATTGACATTGGTATTGTGCGTGCACCGTTCCACGTCATTTCTTCACTCGTGCAAGATTCATGGACCACCACTGAAATCAGCAATAGGAACTGTCCGTCACCACAAAGAGCTCCCCCTGCTAGGCCGTCATAGTCGCCCCCATCCCTGCCCCAGCCCAAGAGAGTTCTTTGAAAGAATGGGAAGGTGAGAGAGCTTGACTTACGAGTATCCCGACTAACGAGTTTTTTGAGATACCAGCTGTCTCTTGGCAGATTTTTTTGCATGGAGTTGATAGAGTAATTTGAGTTAACGAGCTCCTTAAGAGTTCGAGTTCGGTCTAGGAATGAATTAAACTCGTAAGTCAAGGCCCCACTGTGTCTGGTTTCAAATTGGCTGCCCTGAGTCACCCAGAATGGGGTGCTGGGAGGGGAACCCTGAGTCTGGAATGAGACATATGGGTGACCGGGGAGGAGCTTGGATTGGGCAGGTCCAGCCACCACCCAGTGTCCCCTCTGCCTTGCCCGGCAGACCTGTGTGGCACTGCCCTGGCCCAGGGGAAAGCACAGTGTGTTCAGCCACCCCCGCCCAAAACATACTCCTCCATTTGCACTTGCTGCCCTGGGCTAAGATGTCAGGAGGGGCCGGCTGCATGGGACGCTGACGTGAAAAACAAGAAATGAGGCAGGGTCCTATGATCAGGTGGAGAGGGCTGTCCTGGTCCTCAGGGAGCTGTCAATATTACGAGACAGAAAGGCGTGAGGAACCAAGGCTGATGGAGGGGACAGGCTCAACTCTGGGGCTCACAGACCGGTGACGGCAGCAAAAGAGAACTCTCCAAAAGGGTGTGGGGCCTGAAAAAGTAACAGGTTTCCTCCCGTCTTTTGAGTTCTTCTAGCTGGGCTAGCAACCATGTGACCAGAGGTTAACAGGAGAAAATGGAATTTTAATATATGCACACCTAGAATTCATAAAAGCATAACTATTCCAAAGACAGGGAGGCAAAACTGGATGTATGTGTCATTTTGGACAAAGGAGAAAGGGGGGGAGTGGGTTATTAGATTTTACAAGTAAAAATGGGCGATTTGCAGGTACTTGGGGAAGAACGTAGGCCTGCAGGTAGATTTTGGCTCGGCAACCCAGAGACCAGTGGGGCTGGCGAGGGGGTGGGGGACTAATCCACAGGCTCCTGCTTGGGGCCTAACTGTAATGCGCAGGTGCTTGTGCTCAGGGCCCCTTCCTGACGCAGGTCTCCCCCCCTGATCTCTTAGGCAGGAACAGGGAGCAGGTCAAAGGTTCTCTCTGAGTCTTTTGTTTCTTAATAACCACTTTAAAATCCATATCCCAAAAGGCAGCTTTGGCTGGCAGAACTTTGGTCCCCTTCAAGGGCATGACACAGGAAAGAGACCAGATGTGTGGTGACTCCACGGTGCTGGAGGACCCAGGGGAGGCTTCCTGGAGGAGGTGGCACTGAAGCTGATCCAAGAATGATCCTCCTTAGGTGTTCAAAAAAAGATGATAATGGAGTTGCGCAGGGGAAGAAGTACCCCGTATGGTCAGGGAAAGGGGTGCAGGGTGACGGCAGAAAGACTGAGGGGGGAGACCAGGAAGAGATGTGGTGAGGGTGTGGGGCTGTCAGAGCACCTGAAGTTCCAGGCCAGGGGGAGGAAATGAGCTCACACTGGCTGCAGGTTGGGGTGGAGGAACCTCAGGAAGTGGGAGGAGCCAGCCAGACCCCTGTGCCCCCCTCCCCCATCCTCCTGCTTCAGGTGGCCTCGGGCACCTCCCAGATCTGGCATTGCTCCAGGAAGTCAAGTCTCCCTGTTTACAGTTGACTAGGGGGAGGAGAGGAGGAGAGAGGGGAGGGGTAACCACGGGGTAGGCAGGCTGGTTGGCTCTCTCCAGCTCCTGCTGGGCCCGGAGTGCTGGACCTGCAGCAGCCGGCTCGGCTCAGGCACTCCGCTCCAGCCGCACACCTCACCATGGCCATGGAGGTAGACAGCAGGCCTGGGGGGCTCCCCGGCAGTGGTTGCGACCTGGGCGCAGCTCGCCAGCACATGCAGGCGGTTACCCGAAACTACATTACTCACCCCCGTGTCAGTGAGTATGACCCCCAGCGGGTGAGCGCGGGCTGGGCTGTTGGTCCTCGGGCACTGCATTTTAGCCTCAGGGAAAGACCAGAGGAATGGGGAGTGGCCTAGGGGGCTTTCGGTCCAGGTCCAGTGGGGTGATACCATCAGCTGCCTGTGCGAGGAGCCACCTCTGCAGGTGGAGAGATGGAGTCTGAGCCCAGGTTACCCCAGAGGGGAGGGCAGGGGAGTCGTTGCAGGAAGCTCCCCGTCATCACTCTGGACCTGCATGGAGACCCCAAGTCCAGAGGGAGCACCCACCTGCCCCTGAGAGTGTGTGTGTGTGTGAACACGTGTATTTGGGGTATGTATCCAGGCCCAGCATGAGGAAACGTGTGATCGCGTGTTCTTGGGGGGGATATGTAGCAATGCAGAGCTGGTGTGCATCCTCCGGATGGGAATTACGTGACACTGTGTGTCACATCGATGGGTGCGTGCCGCGTGTGCTTTCTGGGGTGGATGTCAGTGTGTATGGCCAGGGAAGGCATGTGCCTGCGTGTTCTCACCTTCACTCATTGAAGATATGTGTGAATGTGTGTGACAGCTTGAGTGTGTGTGTGATCAGAGTGAAGAAATGCGGGTATCTGTGTCATTTTGGACAAAGTGGGAAAGGGAGACACTGTGTGTGCAGCTTGTACACTCAGGGTGAGGGTGTGTACGTGTGCGTGTATATGCTCAAGTGTGCATGCTCACGGGCGGACATGGGGAGGTGTGCTCAGGTGCTGTCCGTGTCTGTGTGTGTACGGCCGGGGGAGGGGGGACGCCTGGCGTCCAGGTGCACAGGTGTGTGTGCCCGAGTGCATCTTTGCAGGCTTCAGAGGGCGTGGCCCTGCAGTGGCTTGAGGGCCTGTCCTGCAGAAGTGGCCCAAGTTCAAGTGTCTGGGGCAGAGAATCCGGTAAGGCCCTGAGGACCAAAGGGAGCCCTTTGCCCCGCCATCTCTCCTAGTCCAAGGTCACTCTCCCTGCCCAGGCTTATTCTAGAATTCTCAGCAGCCCGGCCCACTGGAGGAAACCGGCCTGGCCAGCACCAGCTGAGCAGAACTAGAGGCTGCTAAGAGGGTGTGTTTGGGGAGAAGCTGGTGTAGCCCAGCCACCCCTCCCTCCTCTCCAGTTACACATCTGAGGGGGAGGAGTGGCCTGAGAGGCAGCTTGGAGCCCAGTCTGCGTTTGGGAGTGGAGCCCCAAGGCCCCAGGAGGAGTCCATGGGTGTGAGGCACCTCCTTAGGCCCCAGCAGGCACTGAGGTGGAGTACGTTCTGCTGAGTAGCTGCTGAGAGGAGTGGTGTAAGGTTGATCCAGATCTGCCCTGTGTGGGTACAGAGAGGATGGGGGCCCAGATCCTCCCCAGGGCTGAGGGGGTCCCCAAGGCCCAGAAATATGCAGCAACTGGGCCCTGTTTGGGTTCAGAGCCCAGGCCTGGAGACCTGAGAGGATCCGCTGACCCTCGTCCAGTCCCATGTGATGGAGGCTCCTCCCGTCTCCCTCCTCCCCGTGGGACCAGGAGAGGGGCGGGGTCCCGGGGTCCCGAGTGGGCTGTGGGTTCTGGAGTCTGGACCTACATGCTTTGCTTTCCTTCTCCCTGGAATGCACCCCCCCCCAGGAACCCTGCAAGCTGCACTCTTTTTTTCAAGCCTGGGTCAAGTGTGACCCAGGTTGGAATCCAGGGGTGGCAGCAACCTCCCCCGCAACCCCAGGTTTGCAAGTGTGCTGCTCCGTGTGGCCCCCACTCAGACAAGTGTGTTCACACACAACAGCTGACCCACAGGCCAGGGGCAGTGCAGGGGGAGCCCCTTCAGGCTCCACAGTTGTGTCAACGATGTCATTACGATGACAAAGGCCATCACCTTTGCTTTGCAGCACACCAGTGTCCTCACAGGGTACATCCCGGGCCAGCCCCAGCCCCGCCTTAACAGCCCCCACCCCCAGGGCAGGCAGGGTTCCCCAAGTGCTCTGCACCTGCAGCTTTCACCAATTCCCTCCTTTCCCCCTCAGGGCCTGAGGGGTTTCTCCCTGGGGGGAGGGGCATGCGTAGGCACAAAACCCAGAGCTGCTGCCCTCCTAAGCTGAGCCGGACTCCTCCTCCAAGTCTGGCCTTCTACCGGGGCCTATAAGCACTTCCAGGAGAACTTTGTGTAGAGACAGAAGGCGCATAGGAGGAGGGCAGCTGGCTCCCAGCC